CTCCCTTTTGCCTGAGTTGAGCAGAGGCTAAATACTGTACTCCCACTGTAGGGTATGACTTGAGGTAGCGCACCACTCTCTCTGCTGCACCACACTGCTCTTCTGTTGGATTTTGCACTACTCGAGCCAGCTGTCCCACAGCAAAGCTGATGTCAGGCCGAGTATGCACAGCAGCGTAGAGTAGGCTCCCGACCATGGATTGGAATTGCCTCTGGTCTTCACTCTCAACTCCTTCTCCTTCAGCTGCCTTTATGAGTTTGAACTCGGAAGGCAAAGGTGTGACCACTTCCCGTTCTTCCTGCAGAGAGTACTTCTCAGCCAAGGTGTTGATGTACTGTCCCTGATGCAGTTTGAGCCAGCCACGTTCAGTATCCCGCTCAATGTGCATTCCCAGGTAGTACCTTGCCTCTCCAAGTGACTTGCACTTGAACTGCTCTGTGAGCTTCCGCTGCACCCCATCGATCTCCTTGTCACTGCTGCTGAAGAGCAGGATGTCATCCACGTACACCAGCAGAAGCACAAGCGACTCCCCCTCGCTCATCAGGAATAGGCTCTCGTCGCATGCACTCGCACGGAATCCAATCCCTTCCAGTGCACTGGCCTGCCTGTTGTACCAGCATCTCGGGGCCTGCTTCAAGCCATAGATGGCCTTGTTAAGTTTGCAGACACGACTGGTTTCATCCTCATAGCCAGGTGGTTGAACCATGTACACCTCCTCTTCCACAATGCCGTACAGAAAAGCGGTTACGATGTCCATCTGCTTCGCCTTCCATTTGCGCACAGCAGCTACCGCCAGCAGCACACGTAGCGTTGGAGACTTAGCAGTTGGGGCAAACACTTCTTTGTAATCTTCCTTCTCTTTCTGTTGAAACCCCTTTGCCACCAGCCTGCTCTTGTAAACTGATGGCTCTCCTTTCTCATCCGTCTTGATTTTTGCCAGCCACTTGCACTGTATTGCCTTCTTCCCATTTGGCAAGTACACCAGGTCCCATGTGTGGTTCTCCATCTGGCTGTTGTACTCTGCATCTCTTGAAACGAGCCATTTCCCCCGTTGATGCCCGGCTAGCGCATGATCCATGCTCGGAGGTTGTATTGGTGCGTAAAAGTAGTATGCAGGCTCCTCGTCATCTGACTCTTGGTCATCACCCAAGAACAGCACTGTATCTTCGCCTTGAGCTTGTTCCTGCTGCTCAGTTGTGGCTCCTTCACTTGTAGAGCTCAGCAGCTTTCTTGTTGCCATTCTGGTACGTGCAGGGTAGATGGTTGGATTTACCCATTCTTTCACCTTCACCCAATCCTTTGTCCCCCCACCAATCTGTTTCCTTCGCTTTGGCAGACTTGGTGTTTTGGAAGCCTCTTGCTGCTGCTGCTCCGGATCCTTGACTTCAGCATCAGCTGCAATATCCTCATTGCTTCCTTCATCAGTACCGCTTGCCGTTGGCGCAGTAACTTCGCTGTCCTCAGGTTCGGACAAATCGAAGCGCATAGTGATCTCTTCCAGCTGCTGGGTGACCCTTGCCTCCGGCTGCTTCTCCCACTTGCCATACATGATGTTCTCCACAAATTTGACATCCCGACTGTCAAACAGCACATTCTTTGAGGGCTCCCAGAGTAGCCACCCCTTGCTCTCTGCCGCAAGCCCAAGGTGCACACACCACAGTGCAGATGCTCCAAGCTTTGTCCTGTACGGTTTAGGGACATGCGCCACTGCCATGCATCCGAACACTCTCAGCATGTCCACTGGAGGCTTCTTTCCAAGCCACCTCTCCAGCGGCACCCACATATCATCAGCTACCTTTGTGAGTATGCGGTTCCTTGCCACTGTAGCATGCCTCACCGCATGAGGCCACATGGAGTTCCCCAGCCCTGATTCGATCAGCAGCGCTCGCGCAGTTTCCAGGATGGTCCTATTAGCCCTCTCAGCAACGCCATTTGACTGAGGGGTATAGGACGTCGTTAACTGATGCTCAATGCCTTGTTTCTTGAGCCACGCAGTCAGATCTCCTCCTAGAAACTCTCCATCTCGGTCGGTTCTGATGCTCTTGCATGGGTGCCCAGATTGTCGCTCGACGAGCGGCAGCCAGTCATCTCGTATTGTTGAGGCAGCATGATCCTTCTGCTTCAATGGGTATGCCCACATCAGCCGGCTCCAGTCATCAACTATTGTTAGGAAGTATATTTCCCCCTTTCTTCCTTGAACTGGAAAAGGTCCTACCAGGTCCATGTGCACCAGTTCCAGTGCTGCCTTGCTTTTCCCAGCTACGCCGTGAAAGGGGAACCGTGTGAACTTGCTCAGCAGACACGTCTCGCACTTGGTATCATTTGGTTGCCCAGAAAGCTTCAGCCCCTTTACTGCTTCTTCCTTATGCAGTTGCTGCAGCAATGGCATAGCCACATGCCCTAGACGCCTATGTGCGGTTTCCCAATCAGTCTCCCCCGACCTTGTAGAAACCATAACTCCTGCAGCACTTACTGCATTGCACTCCCCCTGGACTCCAGATCCCGCCTTTACTACTCCCAGCTCCTTCTTTGTTGATTCCCATATCAGCGCAGGGATCTGCCACATGGATCTGAAGACATCCCTGCTTTCGTGTAAATCCCATAACACACGATCTCCTCGCAACCCCTTGAATGTTTTGGATCCATTGGTGGTGGTGTTGACTCCGGCCTGGCCTAGCTTGCGCAGCGATATCAGATTGGCCTTCAGCCCCAGTACGAGTAACACATCCTTCAGCACAACCAGTCCACCATCAGGTGCTCTGAATGCAGCTCGACCAACTCCAGCGACCTTCACTGCATGTCCGGATGCTGAGCGCACTTCAGAGATTGGAGGCGCTCGCACAGCATCCAGCAAATCCTTGCGTGGTGTCATTGTCCATGCAGCACCAGAGTCCATGACCCACATGTCAAGCGGGTGCAATTCCTCTCCAGCCCTTGCAACAGCTGTGCCACTGTCATCTTTGTCACACACATGGTAGAACTGTCCAGCATTCCTCTCCGCATTTCCCATTCCTCTGTCATCCTTGGAGGTTTCTTTAGCAGGATCAGCTACCATGTTGGCACCTCCATGTGGTTGCTTTCCTTCATTCCCCTTTTGCGATTCGTTCCAAGGGGTCCACCAGTCGGGCTTGGTAGAGCAGCGAAACCATGGATGCCCTTCTTCCTTGCAATACCAGCACTCTCCCCTCAAGCGTGGTTCACTGTTGTCATTGTTGGAGTGACCACCTCTTCCTCTTGCACCAGCGCCACCACGCCCCCGCTGGTTCCAAGTCCCGCGACCACCTTGGTTATAGTAGGAGCGACCGCGATTGCCACGCCCTCGATCCCTCCATGTCTCTTGCATGGCATAGCCGCTGGTACTGTCATCACCTCCGCGCAGTGTGTAGCGACGAAAATCTTCTTCCAGAATCTTGGTGCGAATCCATTCCAATGTCCATTGACTTTGGTTTTGTGGCAAGCTGAGTCCGCTCATAAATTGCAGCCAAGACTCGGGCAGCAGGCTGAGCATCTTGAGACACTTAGTCTGCTCAGGGTACGTGATGCCGCAACCGCCAATTTCGCGTAGAGTTCCCTCATCTTGTCCAGAACGGGCTGCACAGGTGCATTCTCGCTCAACCGCAGCATGGATTGCTCCCGATCCAGCATGAGAGAAGCGGCAACCGATGTCGAAGCGTGCAGGTCCTTGAGCACTGCCCATGCCTTGGGCCACAATCAGTTTCCGGTAGCAGATGCATGATGTGATGCCTCTGGTTCAGCTCCAAGCTTTGTGACAGTAGATAATACCCAGCAGATGAACGTTCATCCCAGTCCGCTTGCTCTGCCATTTCCTTTGGCCTAGGCTCCGTTCCAATCATGAGCTTCAAGAGGCCACTTTGTCGAAACTAGAGCTGCATCTTCCATGCCCAATCATCATAGCCATCTCCAGAGAACTTCTCAATGGTGAAGTTCTTCAGCACCTCCTTAAGCAGTGACCCCTGGCTTGTACGCGCTCCCCTTTGCGCTGCAATGCCAGAATCTTGGGTTGAGCTGCCTCCTTGGACTGAAGTATCACCTCCACCAGAGTCCTCCTTATCTCCCATCGTATTTAGGTCCCAAATGCGTGATAATGGGCTCTGATACCACTTGTTGGTTAGGAAGGCTATAAGCAGATGATTCAATGGCTCCTTGGAAATTTCTGCAGCACTTCGTTATGACGCCCAGAAACTGCGACCTTCGAAAACATATGATCCAACGAGCGATCTGATCGGATTGTTGTAGCTTGCGCGTCAGTATGAAAGGAATCAATTCGTGCATGAGTGGTGGCGTGGGCATGGGGGGTTGGGAGGACTCAGAGTACTATGTGGGCACAGAGGGGTGTGGAGGGAGGCGGTGGGGGGACTATGGTCAAGAACATGACAAACAATCTTGACTCCCCATCTCAGGTTCAGCAGCCTGGCAAGACAAAATTCCACTGTGCAGGTTGGTCTCCAAACAAGTGCTGCAGCTGCAAGGTGGGACAAAAGTCCCACACATGCTGGTTCCTCGTTTTAGGTTTTTGTTATTGTTTTTTTGCACGTTCACTGTCTTTTGCACATGTTGCATCACGTTTGGTGTTGGTGGCCAGATTGTGGTGCGTGTGTGGATTGTGCATGACATCGAGCACATTCCAACGAGCCAAGAATTGTTGGAATCGGAGCACATATGAAGAAGTTACGAAGAAAATGTTTGATGGATTTGTTACAACTCATTGGAAGTCCTTGTCAGCTGCTACACCAAAGTTGGAGAGCCCTATAACGAGGAGGGACCAGCATGTGTGGGACTTTTGTCCCACCTTGCAGCTGCAGCATTTGGGTTTGGAGGCCAACCTGCACAGTGGTGAATTTGTCTTGCCAGGCTGGCTGAACCTGAGGATGGGGAGTCAAAACTTTGACTCTTGTCATGTTCTTGACCATGGCCTCCAGGGTCCTTCCTTCATCTTCTTCCTACCCCACCTTCCAACTGTGTTCAATGCCTTTTCTATCATGCCTCTGATCTTGTAAGCTTCAATCATAGTGACTCTGAGGACTGTCAACTTCTCCTAGGGCAGATTACCCCCCAGTGCGCCAAACGCCATAGCTCACTCGTTAGCTACGGAATCGAGTGATTCAACTTTCAGTGGAAAGCTGACGCTGCCAGCTACAACATATCCGATTTTCAGATCGTTTCACCGATTGGAGTTTTTGATATAGCTATTCGAAGGGTCGCGAGTTTTCTGGGCGTCATAACGAAGTGCTGCAGAAATTTCCAAGGAGCCATTGAATCATCTGCTTATAGCCTTCTCTAACCAACAAGTGGTATCAGAGCCTATTATCACGCATTTGGGACCTAAAATACGATGGGAGATAAAGGAGGACTCTGGTGGAGGTGATACTTCAGTCCAAGGAGGCAGCTCAACCCAAGATTCTGGCATTGCAGCGCCAAAGGGGAGCGCGTACAAGCCAGGGGTCACTGCTTAAGGAGGTGCTGAAGAACTTCACCATTGAGAAGTTCTCTGGAGATGGCTATGATGATTGGGCATGGAAGATGCAGCTCTACTTTCGACAAATTGGCCTCTTGAAGCTCATGATTGGAACGGAGCCAAGGCCAAAGGAAATGGCAGAGCAAGCGGACTGGGATGAACGTTCATCTGCTGGGTACTATCTACTGTCACAAAGCTTGGAGCTGAACCAGAGGCATCACATCATGCATCTGCTACCGGAAATTGATTGTGGGCCCAAGGCATGGGCAGTGCTCAAGGACCTGCACGCTCCGACATCGGTTGCCGCTTCTCTCATGCTGGATCGGGAGCTGTCCATGCTGCGGTTGAGCGAGAATGAACCTGTGCAGCCCGTACTGGACAAGATGAGGGAACTCTACGCGAAATTGGCGATTGCAGGCATCACGTACCCAGAGCAGACAAAGTGTCTCAAGATGCTCAGCCTGCTGCCGGAGTCTTGGCTGCAATTTATAAGCGGACTCAGCTTGCCACAAAACCAAAGTCAATGGACATTGGAGTGGATTCGCACCAAGATTCTGGAAGAAGATTTTCGTCGCTATACACTGCGCGGAGGTGATGACAGCACCAGCGGCTATGCCATGCAAGGGACATGGAGGGATCGAGGGCGTGGCAATCGCGGTCGCTCTTACCACAGCCAAGGTGGTCGCGGGACTTGGAACCAGCGGGGGCGTGGTGGCGCTGGTGCAAGAGGAAGAGGTGGTCACTCCAACAATGACAACAGTGAACCACGCTTGAGGGGAGAGTGCTGGTATTGCAAGGAAGAAGGGCATCCATGGTTTCGCTGCCCTACCAAGCCCGACTGGTGGACCCCTTGGAACCAATCGCAGAAGGGGAATGGAGGAAAGCAACCACATGGAGGTGCCAACATGGTAGCTGATCCTGCTGAAGAAACCTCCAAGGATGACAGAGGAATGCGAAATGAGGAGAGGAATGCTGGACAGTTCTACCATGTGTGTGACAAAGATGACAGTGGCACAGCTGTTGCAAGGGCTGGAGAGGAATTGCACCCGCTTGACATGTGGGTCATGGACTCTGGTGCTGCATGGACAATGACACCACGCAAGGACTTGCTGGATGCTGTGCGAGCGCCTCCAATCTCTGAAGTGCGCTCAGCATCCGGACATGCAGTGAAGGTCGCTGGAGTTGGTCGAGCTGCATTCAGAGCACCTGATGGTGGACTGGTTGTGCTGAAGGATGTGTTACTCGTACCGGGGCTGAAGGCCAACCTGATATCGCTGCGCAAGCTAGGCCAGGCCGGAGTCAGCACCACCACCAATGGATCCAAAACATTCAAGGGGCTGCGAGGAGATCGTGTGTTATGGGATTTACACGAAAGCAGAGATGTCTTCAGATCCCATGTGGCAGATCCCTGCACTGATATGGGAATCAACAAAGAAGGAGTTGGGAGAAGTAAAGGCGGGTTCTGGAGTCCAGGGGGAGTGTAATGCAGTTAGTGCTGCAGGAGTGACGGTTTCTGCAAGGTCGGGGGAGACTGATTGGGAAACCGCACACAGGCGTCTAGGGCATGTGGCTATGCCATTGCTGCAGCAACTGCATAAGGAAGAAGCAGTAAAGGGGCTCAAGCTTTCTGGGCAACCAAATGATACAAGTGCGAGACGTGTCTGCTGAGCAAGTTCACACGGTTCCCCTTTCACGGCGTAGCTGGGAAAAGCAAGGCAGCACTGGAACTGGTGCACATGGACCTCGTAGGACCTTTTCCAGTCCGAGGAAGTAAGGGGGAAAGGTACTTCCTGACAATAGTTGATGACTGGAGTCGGCTGATGTGGGCATACCCGTTGAAGCAGAAGGATCATGCTGCCTCAACAATACGAGATGATTGGCTGCCGTTCGTCGAGCGACAATCTGGGCACCCATGCAAGAGCATCAGAACCGACCGAGGTGGAGAGTTTCTAGGAGGAGATCTGACTGCGTGGGCTCAAGAAACAAGGCATTGAGCATCAGCTAACGACGTCCTATACCCCTCAGTCAAATGGCGTTGCTGAGAGGGCTAATAGGACCATCCTGGAAACTGCGCGAGCGCTGCTGATCGAATCAGGGCTGGGGAACTCCATGTGGCCTCATGCGGTGAGGCATGCTACAGTGGCAAGGAACCGCGTACTCACAAAGGTGGCTGATGATATGTGGGTGCCGCTGGAGAGGTGGCTTGGAAAGAAGCCTCCAGTGGACATGCTTCGAGTGTTCGGATGCATGGCAGTGGCGCATGTCCCTAAACCGTACAGGACAAAGCTTGGAGCATCTGCACTTTGGTGTGTGCACCTTGGGCTTGCGGCAGAGAGCAAGGGGTGGCTACTCTGGGAGCCCTCAAAGAATGTGCTGTTTGATAGTCGGGATGTCAAATTTGTGGAGAACATCATGTATGGCAAGTGGGAGAAGCAGCCGGAGGCAAGGGTCACCCAGCAGCTGGAAGAGATCACTATGCACTTCGATCTGTCCGAACCTGAGGACAGCGAAGTCACTGCGCCAACGGCAAGCGGTACTGATGAAGGAAGCAATGAGGATATTGCAGCTGATGCTGAAGTCAAGGATCCGGAGCAGCAGCAGCAAGAGGCTTCCAAAACACCAAGTCTGCCAAAGCGAAGGAAACAGATTGGTGGGGGGACAAAGGATTGGGTGAAGGTGAAAGAATGGGTAAATCCAACCATCTACCCTGCACGTACCAGAATGGCAATGAGAAAGCTGTGAGCTCCACAAGTGGAGGAGCCACAACTGAGCAGCAGGAACAGGCTCAAGGCGAAGATGCAGTGCTGTTCTTGGGTGATGACCAAGAGTCAGATGACAAGGAGCCTGCATACTGCTTTTACGCACCAATACAACCTCCGAGCATGGATCATGCGCTAGCCGGGCCTCAACGGGGGAAGTGGCTCGTTTCAAGAGATGCAGAGTACAACAGCAAGATGGAGAATCACACATGGGACCTGGTGTACTTGCCAAATGGGAAGAAGGCAATACAGTGCAAGTGGCTGGCAAAAATCAAGACGGATGAGAAAGGAGAGCCATCAGTTTACAAGAGCAGGCTGGTGGCAAAGGGGTTTCAGCAGAAAGCGAAGGAAGATTACAAAGAAGTGTTTGCCCCAACTGCTAAGTCTCCAACGCTACGTGTGCTGCTGGCGGTAGCTGCTGTGCGCAAATGGAAGGTGAAGCAGATGGACATCGTAACCGCTTTTCTGTATGGCATTGTGGAAGAGGAGGTATACATGGTTCAACCACCTGGCTATGAGGATGGAACCGGTCGTGTCTGCAAACTTAACAAGGCCATCTATGGCTTGAAGCAGGCCCCGAGATGCTGGTACAACAGGCTGGCCAGTGCACTGGAAGGGATTGGATTCCGTGCGAGTGCATGCGACGAGAGCCTATTCCTGATGAGCGAGGGGAGTCGCTTGTGCTTCTGCTGGTGTACGTGGATGACATCCTGCTCTTCAGCAGCAGTGACAAGGAGATCGATGGGGTGCAGCGGAAGCTCACAGAGCAGTTCAAGTGCAAGTCACTTAGAGAGGCAAGGTACTACCTGGGAATGCATATTGAGCGGGATACTGAACGTGGCTGGCTCAAACTGCATCAGGGACAGTACATCAACACCTTGGCTGAGAAGTACTCTCTGCAGGAAGAACGGGAAGTGGTCACACCTTTGCCTTCCGAGTTCAAACTCATAAAGGCAGCTGAAGGAGAAGGAGTTGAGAGTGAAGACCAGAGGCAATTCCAATCCATGGTCGGGAACCTACTCTACGCTGCTGTGCATACTCGGCCTGACATCAGCTTTGCTGTGGGACAGCTGGCTCGAGTAGTGCAAAATCCAACAGAAGAGCAGTGTGGTGCAGCGAAGAGAGTGGTGCGCTACCTCAAGTCATACCCTACAGTGGGAGTACAGTATTCAGCCTCTGCTCAACTCAGTCAAAAAAGAATTGAAGTCCTCAAAGAGAAGGGGAGCAGCTCGGAGAAGGAAAGGTGTTCCTTCCTGTTTTGCTGATGCCACGTGGGCTTCTGAGCATGAGGATTCATCATCAGTTGGTGGATACATCTGCATGGTGGGAGGTGGGCCTGTAAGTTGGAGGTCCAAGAAGCAGTCTGAGACGGCACTATCTTCAGTGGAATCTGAGTACATGGCGATGTTTCATGCGGCAAAAGAAATCATCTGGCTAAGGAGGCTCTTGAAGGAGAATCGGCCATGAACAGACTTGTGCGACACCTCTGGTTCAGTGATAGCAAGGGAGCCATTGCCATGGCACGCAATGCAGTTCTTCATGGGTTGAACAAGCACATGAGGATCATGTGGCATTGGCTGCGGAAGGAGGTGAAGCTTGGGACACTGGATCCGATCTACGTGAAAACTCAGCAACAGCCAGCCGACTTCCTTACCAAGCGGCTAGCTGAAGAGCCACACTGGCGCTGTGCGAGGATGGCGGGAATGTCCTTGAACTAGAGACGGCGAAACAAGCCGACAGTCTGAGGGGGAGTGTGTTGGTGCATATTCATTTGCACGTCATCCTGTCGTCTGTTCGCATCATTTCGTTTGCATGTGTTTTGTGTGCTACGTTGTTTGTATGGTTTGTTGGGTTTGCATGTCTTTTGCATGTTCATCTTGTGCTTGTGCAGATGTGCTTGGATTGTGCATGACATCGAGCACATTCCAACGAGCCAAGAATTGTTGGAATCGGAGCACATATGAAGAAGTTACGAAGAAATGTTTGATGGATTTGTTACAACTCATTGGAAGTCCTTGTCAGCTGCTACACCAAAGTTGGAGAGCCCTATAACGAGGAGGGACCAGCATGTGTGGGACTTTTGTCCCCACCTTGCAGCTGCAGCATTTGGGGTTTGGAGGCCAACCTGGCACAGTGTGAAATTTGTCTTGCCAGGCTGGCTGAACCTGAGGATGGGGAGTCAAAACTTTGACTCTTGTCATGTTCTTGACCATGGGCCTCCAGGGGTCCTTCCCTTTCATCCTTCACTTCCTACCCCACCTTCCAACTGTGTTTCAATGCCTTTTCTATCATGCCTCTGATCTTGTAAGCTTCAATCATAGTGACTCTGAGGACTGTCAACTTCTCCTAGGGCAGATTACCCCCCAGTGCGCCAAACGCCATAGCTCACTCGTTTAGCTACGGAATCGAGTGATTCAACTTTCAGTGGAAAGCTGACACTGCCAGCTACAACATATCCGATTTTCAGATCGTTTCACCGATTGGAGTTTTTGATATAGCTATTCGAAGGTCGCGAGTTTTCTGGGCGTCATAACGAAGTGCTGCAGAAATTTCCAAGGAGCCATTGAATCATCTGCTTATAGCCTTCTCTAACCAACAGCAAGGACTTCAACAATGAGTTGTAACAAATCCATCAAACATTTCTTCGTAACTTCTTCATATGTGCTCCGATTCCAACAATTCTTGGCTCGTTGGAATGCGCTCGATCTGATGTACAATCCAAGCACATCTGCACAAGCACAAGATGAATATGCAAAGACATGCAAACCCAACAAACCACACAAACAACGTAGCACACAAAACACATGCAACGAAATGATGCGAACAGACGACAGGATGACGTGCAAACGAATATGCACCAACAGTTATTGCTTCCTTCTTCTGTACGCTTGCCATTGGCGCAGTGACTTCGCTGTCAAGTGTTTCGGACAAGTCAAAGTGCATAGTGATTTGTTCAGCTGCTGGGACACCCTTGCGTCCGGCTGCTTCTCCACTTTCCACATGATGTTCTTCACAAATTTGACATCGAACTGTCAAATAGCACTTTCTTTGAGGGCTCCCAGAGTAGGCACCCCTTGCTCTTTGCCGCAAGCCCAAGGTGTACACACCACAATGTAGATGCTCCAAGGTTTGTCCTGTACGGTTTACGGACATGCGCCACTGCCATGCATCCGAAAACTCTCAGCATGTCGACTGGAGGCTTCTTTCCAAGGCACCTCTCAACGGCACCCACACTCATCAGCCGTTGTGAGTACGCAAGTTCCTTGCGCTGAGCATGCCTCCACCGATGGCTATATGGAGTTCCCAGCCTGATTCGATCAGCAGGCCGCGCAGTTTCCAGATGGTCCTATACCCTCTCAGCAACGCCATTTGAGTGAGGGGTAAAGGACGCGTTAGCTGATGCTCAATGCCTGTTTTTGCCACCGTCTGATCTGCTCCTAGAAACTCTCCACGCTCAGTTGGTCTGATGTCTGCATGGGCGCCCAGGATTGTCGCTCGATGAACGGCAGCACTCTCTTGTATTGTTGAGGCAGCATGATCCTTCTGCTTCAACGGGTATGCCACATCAGCCGACTCGTCATCAAGACTTTTCAGGAAGTACCTTTTCCCCTTACTTCCTCGAACTGGAAATGGTCTACCAGGTCCATTTGCACAGTTCTAGTGCTTTCTTCTTTTCCCAGCTACGCCTGAAAGGGGAACCATGTAATTGCTCAGCAGACACGTCTCGCACTTGGTATTATTGTTGCCCAAACAGCTCAGCCCTTTACTGCTTCTTCTTATGCAGTGCTGGAGCAATGGCATAGCCACATGCCCTAGACGCCTGTGTGCGGTTTCCCAATCAGTCTCCCCGACCTTCCAGAAACCATACTCCTGCAGCACTTACGGCGTTGCACTCCCCTGGACTCCAGACCTTTACTGCCCCATGTCCTTCTTGTTGATCCCATATCAACGCAGGGATCTGCACATGGTCTGACAACATCTCTGCTTTCTGTAAATCCATACACACAATCTCTTGTTATAATCACAATAGGCTTAGATGTGCCTATAATGAGAGATAGAGAGCACAGTCGGATTTCTGTCAGCACGGCTTCAAATATATGATAACGATCTGGTCACTGAATCAAACGGTGATCTGTAAATTGGATATGGAGCGTGTTGATGTCGTCTATCAGCAGCAAGTTGAATCATGAAGATTGATGAAGATTTGACGCACGCTATGGCGGTTTGACTGGCAGAAGGTACAGACAGCCACTATAGTCTTAGGAGTACAAACTTAGCAAGAAGAGTTCGAGAGGGAGATGGTTCTCAGCCTCTACATACCCCAAGAGCCGAGGTCCAGGTTGGTGGTACACCACCACAGAGTCCCCAACCATGAAGAGTCTCGAAACCAACCCTCCAAGGGGCTACACCAACTGAAATGTAACACTACACGATAGTAACGTTACTATTTTCACTATTTAATATTTATCCGCGTCCCTTGGGCTTGAAATCTTGAGCTCTTGTTCTTGGATCTGCAAGATAAATTCTTCTTGAGTTGATGGGGGCTTGCTGCACACACCTGCGACACGATGGACACTTCACACTCGACAAATAGAAAAAACACATGCGACACACAAACGACGACTTGACGTGCGAGTTGTAGAAACTCGCTAATGTCTTGACCGACACAAACCACATAGTGATACACCATTTCAAACACACACACACAAGCACTGGATAGCAATGACATAGACTCACAATTCATTCCATGCCATGCATCACACACACAAACAAGGACGACAAGCCGAGTGCAAGCCATAGGGTTGCACCAACACTCCTCGCAACCCCTTGAATGTTTTGGATCCATTGGTGGTTGTGCTGACTCCGGCCTGACCTAGCTTGCGCAGCGATATCAGATTGGCCTTCAGCCCCGATATGAGTAAACACATCCTTCAGCACAACCAGTCCACCATTAGGTGCTCTGAACGCAGCTCGATCTGCTCCAGCGACCTTCACTGCATGTCCAGATGC